AACACTCTTGACCAATAACTGCCCATGTCTCCCTCCCCCATCATTGCACTCTCTGCTTCTATGAGTTTGACTATTTTAGATCACTCATATAAGTGACATTATGCAGTATCTGTCTTTTTGTGCCTGGCTTATTTCACTTAGCATAATGTCCTTCAGGTCCACCCATGTTGTCACAAATGGCAGGATTTCCTTCTTTTTCAAAGCTGAATAATACTCCATTATATGCGTATCCCACACTTCTTTAGCCGTTCATCCGTCGATGGACATTCATTTTGCTTCCATGTCTTGGCTATTGTGAGTAATGCTTCAGTGAACACATGGATGCAGATATCTCTTTAAGATCGTAATTTCATATTTACCCAGAAGTGGGATTGTTGGATTATATGACAGTTTAATTTTTAATTTTTTGAGGAACCTCCATATTCTTTTCCATAGTGACTGTACCAATTTACATTCCCACCAACAATGCACAGAGGCCTCCTTTTCTCCGTGTCCTTGCCAACACTGGTTATCTTCTGTTTCTTTGATAACAGCCATCCTAAACAGGCATGAGGTGACATCCCACCATGGTTCTGATTAGCATTTCCCTGATGATTAGTGACATTGAGCACTTTTTTTATATACGTAACTATTGGCCATTTGTATGTCTTACTTGGAGAAAGAAACTTCTATTCAGTTCTTTTACCCATTTTTAAATCAGGGTATTTGGTTTTTGGCAGTGATTATTTTGCAAATATTTTTTCCAATTCTGTAGCATGCCTTTTCATTTTTGTAACTTTTATTCATTTATTTATTTTATTTTTCATTGTGCAGAAGCTTTTGAATGATGTAATCCCACTTCTCTATTTTTGCTTCTGTTGCCTGTAACGTCAGTCTTTTTTCTCTTAAGACCTTCAACTGATTGGATGACGCCTACCTACGTTATGGAGAGTAGTCTTCTTTACTCAAAGTCTACTGAGGTTAATGGTAATCCCATCTAAGAGACCTTCACAGCAACATCTAGACTGGTGTTTGTCCAAAAACCGGGTATGACAGGCTAGCCAAGCTGACATGTAAAATTAACCATCACAGGTACCATTACCCACCTGGATGAGCGTGTTGTCTTTGCACAGAGCTACTATGTTGGATGTCCTGTTCACACCCTGCACTTCTTTCTTTTGCAGAGAAAAGAAAATCCTCACTTTGCAGTTGCATCTGGTTGACAAGAAACTCTAATTTCGTGGGAAGAGGGCTGCATCTAACCCTCGCCAGAGTCATCACCAGAGGCGCACCCACAGCCGACAGCGACGCTCTTCCTATAGCCGAGGACAATGCAGGGAAGCAAGAAGTGCACAGATGGGTTCAGCGACTCCTCCAGCATCGGCAGTGTGCTGGATGATGCAGACAGGGAGGTGAGCAGCCTCACAGACCGGGCCTTTCGGAGCTTGTGCATCTCAGAGGACACATCCTTCCACGACTCCGATCTGGCCCTGTCCCCGGACATCAACCGCCAGGTGTTTGGGACTTTTCACCAGGGAACAGTAAGCCACACCCACAGGAAAAGTGGCATTTGGAGCCAGCTACCATCGCAAGGCACAGAGCATGCAGGCTGGGCGGCCACCTTCCAACAGCTCCCCAAGTACGTTCAAGGGGAGGAAAAATATCCCAAAAGCAGTCCCCCGCTGACACCAGCCCAGAGGAGACTGGAGGTGCCAGTTTCTGGCCTGAGGAGCAGCAACAAGCCTATCTCCAAAGTATCATCATTAATTAAATCTTTCGACAGGACTGAGAGCCAATGTTGTGACAACAGGCCTCCTACTAGCAAGCCCCCAGCTCTGAAAAATCCCCCCAAATTTGCTCCTCTCCCAGAAAGCAGTGTCAACTTCTGTTTTGATTCTGCTTTTTTGACAGTCAGGAGAGTGCCTGCCGAAGTCTCCAACATCCATCAGAACAGCCACCAGCCCGGCAGGAAGCATGATGAACAGGAGTGTCCCAAAAACCCTGAAGTGGCCTGTCACAGCTCCAGCAGCTTCCTCCCCACACCTGACAATGTGGCCAATTTATCTGAGTTGCAGCTCCCCTCCCCACCCCACAAGCCAGCCGAGGGGCAGCCTGGGAGAGGCAAGGAGTGGGCGCAGAAAGGCGCCTTTCTGCACAGTGAAAATAGTGCTTTTGAGTCGTGGAACGCCCACCAACCAAAGCTGCTAGAGAGAAAGGACACTGCTGAAACCATCCCAGAAAGCAAAGCTCCCAAACATTATGAGGACATGCCCTTGCTAAGAGAACCCCATCCTCCTGAGCGTATAGTCTCTCCCTGCCAAGTCCGGGCCAGCTGCTGTCAGGAAGAAAACAGACTGGCAGCAGGGGCTCTGTCCACATCTGGACCCTGGGGATCTAGGGATCCCGGAACCCAGGTATTCACTGGGGAGGGAAAAGCTTCCAGCTCACAGCTTGAGCCTCAGGTGAAGTCAACGCAACCCCCATGGAGAAAACCAAAGACTAGCAAAGGAGGAAAAGAAAATCTACAAGATGCTTCGCAAGAAAGACCAGCCAACAGGAGAGGCCTACCTTTGTATACAAAGCACAACCCCCAGGGTCAATTTCCAGAAAATGATGCTCTGGACATGCCTGTGGATCCTCGTGAGCATTACAATCCTCCTTTTAACATCAGTAAACTCTTGACACCCATAATACCCACCAAGCATGCCCTGGAGTCATCAGACAGACAGCCCAGGGACATAACCCCATCCCCTCCAGGACAGCTAAATGGATACCAAGAGAAGGAGCCCGACGAATGTCAGTCGCGAGACAGCTACAAGTCCAAAGCCCCCAGCCTGCTGTTCAACCTCAAGGATGTGCGGAAGCGCGTTAAGAGCACATACAGTTCCTCGCCTCTCTTGAAAGGCCTCGATGAGAAAACCAGAGGTAAGGCAGACCACAAGCAAGAACCCATGAGCAATGGCATCGTCCTTCCCAACAGGCTTGAGGAAAGCCCCCCAAATCAGCTTTCCACGGAGAGACCAGCTGATGCACCTCCTGCATTGCATATCAGTACCCAGAAGGACCCTTCGGATGACCCCAGTGAGTCCTCTGCGGACAGCTACCCAACCCTTAGCTCACCTCCGGCTATCGCCAAGGTCCCCCTCTGTGTCAACAGGGAGGCCACTGAAAGGAGCAGTCACGAAAAGGAGGACGCCAACCGAGAGTTGGAGATGGTCCCCGCCAGGTCCAGCTGGTGTCCAGACTCCGGGGAACCCCGCCCCAGGAAGCACCTATCCCTGAAGCTCTGCGATAGGGAGGCTGAGGCTGAAAAGGGTGCAGAGACGGCGAAGACCCACCAGCTAGAGAACGGGCCCTGGAGATCCATCTCCCTAGAGACAGAACCTGAGAGAGAGGCAGGACTACAGAACACACACTCGAACCAGAAATTGTCCCCAGGGCCCCTGTCTCCTGAGGAGGAGGATGTGTTTTACAGCGACAGCCAGTCTGATTTTACGCCGGCCCTCCAAAGTAAGGCCAAGTTCAGCACCAGCTCTTCAGATCAGTCCTTTGCCTCATTCGACGATCAGCAGAAGACATGGTTTACCGAGAGCCAGCAGGAAGACAGGAGGAAGGACATGAGTGCAGGTGACAGTCAGAAGGACGGGAAGGAAGACGTGGTGGGGAAAGAGGAGCCACAGTACTGTGCCTTAAGTAACGGGCACATGTGCGTGGAAGACCACAGCAAGAGGGGAGCGCTGCAAAGAGAAGGGGAAACTTTTCCTGCTGGAAGACTCAGAAAGGAGGCATGGAGTGAGGAAGCTAATTTCAGAGGCTCTTGGGTTGGGGGAAGTGAGGATACAGCCCTGTCACATGCCAAAGACCTTACCCCCCCACCAGCTTCTGCTACGAACAAGCACATACTGTTTACTATTAAGGACAACACTCTCCGAGCTACCCCTGTAATAAAACCTATCATGCTGCCTCTCCTGAGGACCATGTCCTCAGAGGACCCGCTGGGCAGCAGTCACAAAGAGGAGGAATCGCCAAGGCCAGGATGGGGCGAGGCTGCTGCTCTCTGTGCCCCCAAGAGCCAGGAAATGACTGGCACCCCAACACCAGCAAACACATGGGGCACACACTTGAAGCAGGTGGCCTATGAAGTCACGGAGGACCCTGGGCAAGTGTCCAGCACGGCCAGGATGGAGGCCTTCCAGCCAGCCCCGACGGAGAATCTCCCATCTCCATCACTGGTGGGAGGGGGGGATGGGATGAAGCTCCCCCCAGAGGCAGCCCATAAAGTCGGGAGGAGGGACGGCCAGAGCAGTTCCACAGACTCCAGCAAGCTGGGGGCTCGGTGGCACATCCCCACCATCACTTTACCCGAGGGCGACTTAGAAGACCAGCCAACCCCCCAGCAGCTTGGAACCTGCTGGGAAGAGCAAGCACAGGATTTCAAAAGTCACTTTCTGTCTACACCCAGAACAAGGCCCCCCTGGAGAAAACTGGTCCCAGGAGATGTGGCGAATTCCCCCAACCCCAGCTCCCTGGGGGACAGCAGCGCCTGCTCCCCAGCCGCCAGCAGCGTGTGGGACGACGCTTCCCAGGCCCCCTGCGACCCGGGGCTGCTGCCCGAGGAGCCTCCCAGCGCCAGCCCCTGGGCCAGCCCCGGCCCTGCTAGAGTCACCCGGCGGGAGGATGTGACACACCCCCTGGTGTGGGAGGCAGGTGCCGACCCCCAGCCCGAGCCATGGACAGACCACCCCCGGACACTCTCCCCGAGAGGCTCGTGGCTGGACGTGGCCCCCAGCTCGGCAGGCCCCCCTGAGACACCGGAGCCCCCTGCTCAGCTGGAGAGGGCGGCCGGCAAGCCCCCCGCAGTCCCACCCAAGACGGAGAAGGCCCTGCGGCGGGCCAAGAAGCTGGCAAGCAAGAGGAGAACGGCCGACCAGGCTCAGGAGAAGCCCGGCGAGCCCCGGGAGGCGCAGCCCTGGCCGGGGGACCCGGAGCGCACGGAGCGCACGGAGCGCACGGAGCGCAGGCCGCCGTCCCCCGGAGAGAGGCCCCGCGCCGCCTTCCCCGCGGTCCGGTCCCTGCCCCCTCCCGCGCACCGCCACTCCGTGTCCGGCTTCTTTTCCGAGGCTGCCGGGCGGCGGCCCGGGGGTCCCCAAGCCCTCACACCCCTGCCCCCTTACCCTGCCACCCAGAAGGTCCTCCAGGATCCCCAGTCTGGAGAGTACTTTGTCTTCGACTTGCCGCTGCAGGTGAAAATCAAGACCTTCTATGACCCAGAGACCGGCAAGTACGTCAAGGTCTCGGTCCCATCCTCCCAGGGGGGCTCCCCGGAGCCGCCCCCGCCGGACGCCCCCGCGGCTCCCTATGTGCTGTATGCCGGCTGCCGGCCCGTGCCCGTGACGACCCTGATGCCGCTGCGCTGCTCCTCGCAGCTCAGCGCTCCCACCTTCCTAAGGCAGGGCCCGCGACCCCCCACGGCCAGGCCCCAGAGCGCCCACGAGGCTGGACTGCAGCCGGCCCCGGGGCCTCAGGGCGACTCCACCTGGCACTCTGCAGGCCAGCGCCCCCTCGGGCATCCCCCGAGCCGGGAAGACCAGGGCGCAGAAGCTCCGGGCCTGGGCATCACCTCCACCGACGACCTGGAGGACTTTGCCACAGAAGGCATTTCTTGAGAATTACAGCAGACTGACTCACCCTCACCCCCAAATAAACCCAGAAGAGCTTCCTTCCCTCTCCCCCAGAACAAGCAATCGCTCGCGCACACACAGACATCGACTAATACTTGGCCATTTGAGATCCCTAAAATCCAAAAGGAAGTGGGGTTCTGAGACAGCCCCATCTGAAGGCTCCCTGAGGGAGGGGCACTGCTTGCATGATGCGGTCCCCTCTGTGTCCCTTCCCAGATCTGCTCCACTCCACTCCCCTCTTCCTCTCCCTTCCGCCTGTCCTGGCCTCCCCCGCCCGTCTCTGGCCCTGCCACCAGATTGGGTGTGGTACAGGACACCACAGGCCTGATCCCTAAAGGTCCCTCTGCCCCTGCATCCCACCCACTCCTTCTCAAGGGTAGGCTCCCCTAAGACCCCCCGAAATGCTGAGCCCTGCTGTGGGCAGGGAGCACCCAGCAGGCTGACCACCCACCACACCCCTCCTAGGGTTGGGGGGTGCTTCACCTTGGTTCACCTTGGACACAGCAGTGGGTTTCCAAGTCACCTCAGCAGAACTGGCTGAGGACTAACCCAAGGCAATTTTGCAGAAATATTTATTTGCATAGAATGGGTTTTCTTCACAAAGGAAACTAGCCTCTGAAAGCTATTTTCTGATAAAGAAAAGGCTGCCTTTTAAAAAGTGAAACAAGTTTGCAGATGTGGTTCTGTCCCTGGACTCACGTCTTTCTTCCGTCGGCACAAGGTGGTGGGGTCTCAGCTAGTGAGAAAAGGGTCTTCTGCCCTCCAGGCCTTACAAGGCAGCTGCAGGCCATATAGGGTCTTCACATGTGAACAAAGCTGCCTCCGGCATCTCCTGAAGCCCCAGGGTCCCCCTCATTCCTTACACACCATGCCTTCTTAGGGTCAGGCCCTAAGCTGGTGCCAGTACCTGGCCCAGTACTCAAAAAGAAACTTTTTCCTGAGTCCCCAGTCTTTGGGGATTTGGAGGGAAGTATCTAAACTAACGCAAGGAGTATGGTGACAACCAACCTGGTGCCTTTGAGGATTTGAGTGCAGGTCCCACCATAGGCAGCAGTGCTGGGAAGGGCGGTCCAGGTGGGCTTCCCCTGGGTGGCTTCTGCTGAGGCCTCTTAATTCTTATTCTATGGGAAAGACAGGGGCAAAAAGCACCTCCCTCACTGTTTAGACCTAAGCAGCCATCGGGACCGAGCTGTCCAGGTCCCAAGGGACCGTGCAAAGGCACCGTCCTTGTTCTGTTGGCAAAGGTGCCATTTCCACGCTGCGAGGATGTGATATTCTATGGGAAAGACAGGGGCAAAAAGCACCTCCCTCACTGTTTAGACCTAAGCAGCCATTGGGACCGAGCTGTCCAGGTCCCAGGGGACCGTGCAAAGGCACCGTCCTTGTTCTGTTGGCAAAGGTGCCATTTCCATGCTGCGAGGATGTGGAGGCACACAGCTCACCAAGTCTCAAACTCACAAATACAGGGGCTTCGAGTGTATTCGTGTAGTGATTTGGATTCAGGATTTTATACCTGTTAGTCTTCCCAGCAAGTGCGGCCACACCTGATTTTCATTATGAAATACTCCACAAAGTCCCCCGCTGATGCCAATCAGTTTGGCTACACCTGGTGAGTCAGCCAGGTGACCAGCCAGGAGCGCAGGCGAGCCACTGTCCCAAAAGTCTGGTTTCCACAGGTCACTCCCCAGGGTGCAGGGGAGGACAACGAAGCTGTGTTTTGACTCCACCACAAAATCACCTCAAACATCCTCCATAGTTTTCATCCTACTAAAACTTGAAAAATAATGTCTTGTAAAATTCTCAAGGCCTCAGGAAAAGAAGAGCCTAGCAAAAGGGGAGTCTCTGCCTTCAGTAACAAACCATAGTTACAATAACTATGTCCCCACAAGGACAAATATTACCTGGGGGAATGTATTTGAGGGAAGAAGTCATCTTCTGTCTTAGAAGCAATATCAGCAGGGCTATGGATGGAGCTAAAATTATAAAGATAGGTATTTGAGATTAAGGTCAACCTGTGGGTCCTAACCTCACAACCTTCCCTTGTCTGATTCCTACAGATCGTAACCTTACAGCCTTCCGTTGTCTACCTCTTTTGTACCCTCCCAGGTGCCCCACCTTAGACACGTGTCCTCCAGGAGGCTGTCCCCATGCCCTGATTCTAACCATGTACCTCGCTTTCTGAGCTGGCCAACCCCGTATCCTGTAATTACGTGTTTAACTGTCGGGCTCCTGCACCCACCCGTGGTCAGTTTTGGAGGGAGAAATCTTGCCTGTCTGCATTATTGCAGCCTCCTCAGCAGCTAACACAGAGCCAAGTACAAGACAGGCAATCAGTAAACATCATTAAATTCAGCAGAATTCTTACTTTAAAATTGTTGGGTCGAATCTAGTAAAAAGAATCTTTTGGGACAGCAACCAATGTGATTTTAACTATTTCCTCACTTTTCTCAGCAGATTGTTGGACACGATGTGGACAAGCCCAGTCCCAAGCCAGAGTGGGTCCTCTGCTCCCCGACCCTGGTGCAGCGGGCAGCCAGCAGGTTGCATCTCCCAAATGGGGTCTCAGGGACTGAGACCTGAGAGCAGATGTCCCTCGATGTGAGCCCTAAGTACTCACATCTCACTAATGTTCTTTGATGAGAAATCCCACATCTGCCAACAAAAGGAGGCCAAAAGGCTTGCCCGGCACACACGGAGACATCAAAACCCGAATTAGGACCAAACTGTTATTTGGTTTTGTGATGATGAAATGATGAGGACGTTAGGCAAATTATATTATGTGAAAGTGGCGAATATGCCCAAATTCTGTGTTTACCGTGGAGAGGACACAGCATCGGACTACCGCATTTTGGAGGATTTCATAGCGTTGGTTACCAAGCGGGAGGGCCATGTTAGTACAGATAAAGTTTGACTTTTAAATCACCTATGAAAAATCAAAGCTGCTACTCTTCAGGACCAGGAGGGTAAATTAAAAGTTACTTAATCTCTCTTCCCATTTCCCCCCAATACAATGAATCTAATTTTGGTGTTATGGATAGAGAAATAAATATCCCAAGAAAAAAAAATGGCTCTAAAAGATAAATAGCATCACCACCTAAAGCATCCACACATCCAGGTTTAAATCTGCAAATAGGATTTGAATATTATCAAGCACAGAGGCGCTTTAACAAATTCTAGAGTATCCAGGAGATACTTGACATCTTTATATCTTAATCAGTTTCTCTATCAGTTTTTCAAACAGGTGACTCTGACGGATCTTAGGAAGTCAAGTCAGACACTAAAAGATTTTTCAAATGTCCCAACAAGTTCCAACAGCTTCCTTTGATCATGTTCTTGAGGCTCCAAAATCTTGAAACCAGTTGGCTCCAGCTGAGCGTATCTGTGTAAGGAGACCTGCCCACGTTGTTTTCGCAGAGCATATTATCTCTGCTGACAGGGCTGGCCCACCCAGCCCTGGGAAAGACCTTTGCCTCTTACACTCCGCACGGGGCAGAGAGGGGCAGAAGTCATCAGGAGCCAGGAGAGGGAAGAAAGAAATTTCCTCCAAAAATACTTACATTATATTTTAATCTAATCTGAGTCCTCCAGGCTGTTGACAGAAGATGCTAAGGGCAAGTATTTTTCTAAGTAAATCTGAGCTCTATGTTGATGTACCCGGAGAAGATCTGCTAGGTCCTGCAGAACTCTCAGTGTGACTCCTTTCTCTCTGCCATTCGGGCAGGGACTCCAGCAAGCCAGGTGAGATGTATCCATCCAAGGTGACATCAGTAGGCCCATCCAATTAGGCCATTCTGATTTAAACCAAGAATCTTTTGGACTTTTAATGGGAACTTGGTATCAAAAGAAATCTACTTAAGAATAGTTTTATCATACACCATAAATAAGCTCCTCACTGAGTTTACTGATCACTCAAATTAACCACCATAACTAGCTAGATAGACACACATCGTGAAAGCACATCTCTCCTACCTCCCCTCTCAGCAACAGGGTTATTCTGCAGGAAACAACAGTTTTTAGACATTGGACAACAAGCGACTGAGACCCTGAAGAGAAGGAAAACAAACAAGATGAACCTATGGTTTTACCAGCTTGTTGTCTGGAGACGATTTCCAGGCTGCAGGGTAGGGAGGGGAAACCCACACAGAGCCTAGTAGTCTATCTTTGTGGCCACAGAGATCAGAGTTTGAAGGGGCAAAGGAAGCCAGAATACTGAGGAGGTGGTGGCTTCACATAAGGAAAGCTCTGGAAATCTACAGAGGGGTCCCCTTGAGTTTTTGGCTGAGTAGTGATATGCATGTGTGACAGGAAACTACCAATGCCAGGAAAAGAACCACCAGAAATGCACAGGCAGAACATGCCCAGAGCTCACACAAAGTTGGGAATAGTTTATGCCCCACTCATCAGAGTGAAAATACCTGATAAGACACAGGCATTGGGTAAAATCTTTAGGAGGATAGCACCTTAGTGGTGGGGCGAAATAAATCTTACAGTAAAGGCTCACTGGATCTACCCGGTAGCTACTAGCCAAAGGTGGCTATTTAAAAGTAAATAAAATTAAAAGTTTAGTTACACAGTTGCACTACTCACATAAAAAGTGCTTATGAGCCACATGTGAGCTGTGGCTACCATTTGAGACAGCACAGATTATAGGACATTTTATTATCTAGGTAAGAGCTAAAGGATGCAACTGATTTCAAGTAACTTAGCTGTTCACCAGACAAAATACAATTCCACTTAAAGGAATACAACAAAAGTCAGCAACCAGCAATACAAAAATCACAATGTTCAGTATCCAATCAAATACCTCCAGGTGTGTAAAGGAGCAAGAAAATACAAATAATAACCAAGAAAAAAAAATCACTCAGTAGAAACACCCTGAAATGAAAGAAATAATGAACTAGCAGAGAACATTTAAAAGTCTATTCTAAATATGTTCTATATGTTCCAGAATATAGAGGAAAACATAAGCATGATGAGGGGAGAAA